TGTTCACTATTGCTGCTTTCCACAGAGGATGAGCCTCTTAAATATAGTGATAGAATATGCATATTTGGGTAGCAAAAACCACCTTCAGCTTCTCTATAACTTACAAGATAATAAAAATCCAACATTAGGTAAATTAATTTTAAAGAATTTTTGCTTGATGTACTCAGTGGATGACCAAACTAACCAATCTTCAATCCTGTTTTTAAATACATGATTTCTTTTTTTCTATTATTTATTTCCTCTCATGTCTGTTATACACATACACACAAAGCCAAAAGTATTCAATTTTTCTGTCTTTTGGTCACATGCCAAATAAAATTTCAGCAGCAACTGTATTAGCCAATACTGTAATTGCATCATTCATTTCACTAATCTCAAAATATTTTGTTTTGTTTACACTAAAAGCATGGAAAGATGGATAAAACTTTTCATTAATTATTGTTTTAAAATGGACTTTAACAGAATTGATTTTTACTACAACAACCCTGATCAAAAGAAAAAAATTAAGTTTCAGTAGAACTGGGTAGAAATATCATCATACATTTTAAAAAGATCACAAGAGGCCAGCAGATAGAATGACTTGGGTTACTGAGCCTGAGCAGACAATTCCAGAACCAATTATTTAGGTCACAGCCCTCATTAGCATAGCAATACATTCATTTTCTCAATGTTACACTGTTTGGAGCCTTCCATTTTCTTAGTTATAAATGCATTAAAAATATCCCATTGAAGTGATACTTTCCTGGACACTTTTCAAACCAAATAGCAGATATTATATTCCAACTAGAGGCTTAATGCACAAATTCATGCACGGGTGGGTCCCTTGGCCTGGCTAGAGATCAGAGCCCATGGGGGGAGCTGGCCAGGGGGAGGGAATGTGGGAGGTTGGCTGGCCAGCACCCCAATTGGGGCTGATGGGGGGGCCGGCCAGCAGGAGGGAGGGACCATGGGAAGTTGGCCAGCCATGGGAGGTTGGCTGTGGGAGCACACTGACCACTAGGGGGCAGCTCCTGCATTGAGCATCTGCCTTCTGGTGGTTAGTGTGTATCATAGCAACCGGTCGACCGGTTGTTCAGTCATTCAGTCATTTAGGCTTTTATATATACATATATATATTGGAAAATTCTTAGTATGCAAGGAATTATGTGAAAGGTAATAAAGTTATGAGTAGATTTAGTCTTGGTCTCAACAGTCCAAGGGTCACCTCCAACAAACTCAGCTTTGTTAAAACCTGAAGCAACTTCTGTGGTGGCCCTGCAATGATGCCTAGCATGTTTAAATCACTGTGAAATTTAAACTGGGTGCAATCAATTTTCTAAGGAATGACAACCATCTGTCTGGAATAAAAGATGATGCACCTTCAGTAATCTTTAGCTACGCTTTGTTTAAATCCTAATTTACATAAAAAGACTGGGTGCAACCATAACAAAATATTCTTTGAGTTTTAAACTGAAAGTGGGAAAGTAATAACTTACACAAATTAATTTTAATGAAAATGTTCACACAGTCAAAAATGATGAATATTACTTAAAAATATTCAGTCTCATATCTAAAAATTTCTTCAAAACTGTGTTGCCGTCAAACATGACAAATATTTTCAAGACCCTTTTATATTCCCATTGGATCTAAATACTCTTTTCCTCCCTAGAGGCAATCACTACTATAAAAGTGATTTGTGTCTTTGCAGTAAATGTTTTCATAGTATATTACATTTGTATATGTTCATAAACAAATTTACTGTTGTTGTGCATGCCATTAAATCTACATTAAATCTATCATGCTCCATATATCATTCTGAATCTCTCCTATGTATTCCAACACAAGGTATTTCCTACTTATTAGTTACTTGGGTTTACTCTGTGGCTTTACATCTATGAATATATTATAATACATGATAGATTCTCCTGTTGATCAACATATTGGTCAGCTGTTTGTGATTGCAAATAATTCTGCACTTAGATCATCATCTTCTAGTACATGCCAAAAGGCTCTGTATGTTATATTCTAAAGTGACATTTCTGTTTATCTGCAAATCAGCTTCATATTGCAAAAATTTTCTCCAATTAGATTGTACCAATTTAAACTATTAGCAGTTTCTGTGAGTTCGCATTTCCCTGAATCCTTGCCCACTTTTGATCGGTCTTTAATTGTTCCATATTGTTTTTAGAATTAAATTATTAAATTCTATGGAAATTCTTGTAAGGGCTGTAATTAAAATGACTGAAATTTTAGCTCAATTTGTGGAAAAATGTCTTTATAGCATTGAAACTTTGAATTCAAGTATATATGTTTCATAATTATTTAGATCTCCTCCCATGCCCTTAGTAGCACTTTTTTAAACAAAGGGAAAACACTGGGGGTTGGCAGTGACTCTTTGACTCAATCTAAATGTAGAGTGAACAATGAGATGGGCCCTGACCACTTTCTTAGAAAACTACCAAGTCTAGGGTGTGTAATTATTTTCATTGAAATCACAGTTTTACGCCTTGAGTCATCTTTCAAACTCAGCCAGCATGTCCTGTGGGGTGAGGCTTTGGGGTGAAATGTGTAGTGGTTGGGAGTCTGTCAATAATAAAATGAACTGAGAAAGTTTGACTTCTGTTTAACTCCAAACTGACAATCCCCACCATGAATGTGTCCATGAAAATTTTAATCTGAAAAAAAAATCTAATATTTTAAAAGTTTCATAGAAATTTTATTTAGCTACACAAGTCACTTAAACATCATTTTTATGCTGTATAGCTTGTACTCAATGAAGTGATAGTAGTCATTTCCTACTGGTAAGACTGTTAATATGATTAATCTTTGATTACTAATTTAGGTTGTATTTTTTTAATTAAATATTTCAAAATGCTTAGTCCTTGTAGAAGAAAAAATAATAAATGAGTGTGTGATGATAAAATACATTGGCAGCCTCTGTACTAGATATCCTCTAGACCAGTGTCTGTTTCAGGCTTGATACTCTATCTACAACTTAGTGAGTAATGGTAGGGTCCTAAACTGGGAAACAAGCTATAGGAAGTAATTTTCACAGACTGGCTCTCTTTGCTCTGTCCCATGACCACAGTCATTCATTCTAATGGCTAACTACAGGTGCTTCAAAATGGACAGCACAGGAGGTGATATGATTATACACAACATGATCTTGTTAAAAGATTGTAATTTGTTATAGTTTACTTATGAGTTTGAGCATTAGGTGTGTGATAGAAAAAGAGCTTGACTTTTTTTACTTGGTGACTTTCAATTAAATATCATTTTTAAAGAGGTGCTTTGAGAACTAATACATGGTAGAAACCAGAGAAAAAAATACAATTCCCCACCATCAAGATGTAACCACTGTTAAAAGCTGGTATATTTCTGTCAGGTCTGTAACTGTGAGAGGATTGTAAAAATAAGTATTAATATTAATTCTTTAATTTAACAAATATTTGTGGAGTGCAAATTCTAGGCCAGGCACAGTTCTAGATATTGGAGATACTGTGAAAACCAATACTTCCCTGTCCATGTCCAGCTTACATTGTAGTAAGAGACAGAAAAGCAAGATAAGCACTAACTGAATGATGTGTTAGAGATAAGAACTAAATAGAAACATAAAAAGATGAAGGGGAATTTGGGAAGGAAAGGGTGTAATTTGAGATAGTGTTGCCAGAGAAGTCCTCAATGGGAATGTAATTTTGCATTAATCATTGACATAAGTCAAATTCTTAATCTGAAGTTCTCGATGATGTGCCCTTGCTTCAGAAAGGATTGAACTTTTGCTTCTGTCAGAAGTCCTCATAACCTCCATACATTTCACAATCGGAGCTGATATGCAGTTGGGCTTTAGTTTTTATTAGTTTCCCAAGCTCCATTTTGCCCTATCCCTTCATTGCCATTCTTCAAAGTCTTCCAACTAAATCTGGGATTTTACCCAGGACGCTCTTGGTGGATCCTGAACTGTAATTGTTGTTCCTTGAGCCACGAGTCTGTAAAGTCTCTGCTCAGCCTCTCAGTCTCTTTCACACACAACTTGTGCATCAGCAAACATTCAAGAGACTATCGGGCTCATTGTCTCCGCATCCCTTTTAACGGGATCTTGGGCCTTATAAGTGCTCCGTGCCTCTGTAGCTTCTTAATTCCTCCAATCAAATTCCATTTTGTCCAAGATTTCTACTTATTATGTGCAGAGTGTGCATTGCACTAAGATCCTCTGCCATCAACAGAGATAGAAATAAACCCTTTCCTTTTCAGTCTATAACTTAATCCTATCCTGTAGTTGGGCCTGGTTTTTCCTCCTCTCAAGACACATGTCCAGTCTTCCCTAGAATTAAAATATTGTAGGGCTGGAAAAGACAATTGCTTTTACTACATGAGATGTGGGGATAGAGATAAGGACCTGAGGATTTAAATTATTCTTATATAAACACTCAACTCTCTCACACATTTTACCATTTGTAGAATATAGTCTTAAAAACGAGGCCATTTTAAAAATAATACATTTATTTAAGATAATACATTTGGATGGACTATAAAACATGTCCAATCGTGATCGGTCTTGCTGGAAGCCGGTCCATCCTTGCTGCTTGACACAGTGGCTGCAGGGAAGAAACATCTGCACAGCATATGCTTCCAGGGACCTGGCGTATATGACATACTGTTCTTAATATGTTTGCTTCCCTTCTTGGCGATATGTGTTTTAACTAAGGTCACCTCTCCGAGAAAGGTTGTTCCCCCAGGTAGGAATGTTTCCCTGAAGTTAGGGAGGGAATAAAACCCCTTAACTAAGTGCCAGGCGGGTAGTTAATCACTTTAACTGCGAACAATCACGCTTAAGCTACATAATCTTTACTCCCTGGAATGGAGATAAGAAACGCCCTAACCTTTGGAATAGAAATTGATAGGATTAAAATCAACTGGTATAAATGCAGATGTAACAAGACGATAAAACACAGAACTTTGAGGCAGCGGTACTGTGCGGGCCTAAGCAAGTCTTTTGGACAGAGCTGCCACTCTCCGGTCTAATGTCGGAAACCAGTGAGGAGCAGCTCATGGAGACAATGGGCGCCACTGAGAACCGGCACAAGGCCGCCCGGGTAGGCGAGTCGCTGGCCGGGCTGGGCAGCGTGGCCGAGGGGAGTGCTGGAGGCGGGAGCGGGGCACCTCCGGCCAGCAACCAGAACGGCACTGAGGGGGACAAGATCAACGCCAGCAAGGAAGAGGAGGATGCAGGAAAAATGTTTGTTGGTCACCTAAGCTGGGATACCAGCACAAAGGACCTAAAGGATTATTTTACCAAATTTGGAGAGGTCGTTGACTGTACCATAAAAACGGATCCCAACACTGGCCGGTCCAAAGGATTTGGGTTTATTCTCTTCAAAGATGCAGCTAGTGTGGAGAAGGTCCTCGACCAGAAGGAGCACAGGCTGGATGGCCGTGTCATCGACCCCAAAAAGGCGATGGCCATGAAGAAGGAGCCTGTAAAGAAAATTTTTGTGGGGGGTCTGAATCCTGAAGCCACTGAGGAGAAAATCAGAGAGTACTTTGGCGAGTTTGGGGAGATCGAGGCCGTTGATCTTCCAATGGATCCAAAGTCAAACAAACGACGAGGTTTTGTTTTCATCACCTTTAAAGAGGAAGAACCTGTGAAGAAGGTCCTAGAGAAAAAGTTCCACACCATCAGTGGAAGTAAGTGTGAAATCGAGGTGGCTCTGGCCAGAAAAGTCTATCAACAGCAGCAGAGTGGCTCTGGGGGCCGTGGAAACCGCAACAGAAGGAACCGAGGCCGTGGTGGTGGCGGTGGAAGTGGAGGAGGTCAGAGTCAGAGTTTTAATCAGGGCTACGGCAACTACTGGAACCAGGGCTACGGCAACTACTGGAACCAGGGCTACGGCTACCAGCAGGGCTACGGGCCCTCGCCCTATGGCTATTATGGCTACGGCCCCGGATACGACTACAGTCAGGGTAGTATGAATTACGGAAAGAGCCAGCGACGTGGTGGCCATCAGAATAACTACAAGCCATACTGAGGCTTCGCAAGAGCGCCCGTCTGACTGCACACGCTTTGTTTGGATATTGAGTAAACACAAACAATTATGTACCAAATTTCACTTGGCATACTTTCTATGGCCTGTCCCACGTGCATCTTATTTAAAATTTTAAATAAAATTTCCCCCCTGGAAATCACTCTCTTGGTTACTATTCCCAGAGCTCTAGTTGTTTTAGGCCGCGTGTGGTGTCTCAGAGGCCAGAGCGGCTTTGTGGGCTGATTTTATTACCGGGTGACCCCGAACCAGGTGGGAGGGTCAGTTTCCTCTGCCGCTCTGCATCCTGGACCTGTGGACCCTGGTTGTAAAAAAGTCTATCTTAGGAAACCAGTGTCACCTTTTTTCACCTTTTAATTTTATATTATTTGTGTCATACATTTCCTGTAATGGAAGGGTCAATTTTACTGTACTTTTTGGTACCTTTTGGGAATCTAATGTATTGTAAGGTATTTTACACGTGTCCTGATTTTGCCACGACCTGGATATTGAAGCTATCCAAGCTTTTGAAATAAAAATGTAAAAACCCCTTAAAAAAAAATAAAACACAGAACTTGGCTGGAGAACCTGGCTAGGCTGCTGATCAACTGAACGCTGTCTCCGTGTCATTCCTTCTTCACCGACTCCGTCCACTCCTTTGGGAACCCCTGGACCTGCTGGGGTTGGACCCCAACACGGTCTGCAAATGAATGTGTTTATCCCTTACATCACACAGAAGCTGAGAAGCTGCACATTTTATTAACCCCAGGACATGGCACTACTGGGACCAAAAATGTGCACTACTTGACTCACACTTTGTTTCTAAGTCAATTGCGATTATATTGTATTTCGTCAGAGAGAAGATGCCCCCAACTATTAGAAATATTATTATTTTATTAATTGCTAAGAAAGAAAATACTTCTTATAAAACTTTTGCATGTCATCAATTTTAAGAGGCATCTTAAATTCAGATAAATTAAAACTTTAACATTTATGAAAAATTGTAAGACAAAGAAATAAACCACGTAGAGCCAGATTCACCCTTTCATTATCAATGAAGCTGTTTTTAGAAGTGTGTTACATTTGGGATGATAACTTCTTCGTACTGAACCCCAGAAATAGCAGACGTCACCCAGCAGAGCTTAGCACTGCAGGACTCCCCATGCAGCAGTCCTGTATCATAGATGGGGAAAGAGAATATACCGTACACTCCTTACAGGCAGGTGAGTTGTAAGAGGAAGAAGAAAGAAATGAGTTGTGCTCTACACCTAATTTTTTTTTCTCCCAAACTTACCAAACAGATGTCACTTCACCTCTTTCAGGATACAAGCAGAGAGGCAGATGGTTGTGTCTGAGTCCTCCTGAGCAAAAGGATTGTGAATCATGAGGTGGTAGGGAGGAAATACCCCTCTGAACAGATAGGTACAATGATTAAAAGTAGAAATTCAGTTTTTCTCCTTGTAGTTCTGCTCCAGTAATGATGGTCTCAATTCAGTCCTGGGATGTTTATTAGAAACAATATTCCAAGGCATTCCAAGATTATTCTGTATGAGAAGGAGTAAAATTCAAGTGATGGGAGGAATCTATGAAGGATATAAAGTGTAGAATGTGAGAAAGAAAAGATATATCTCTCTCACCTTAATAGGAAATTATCTCCCCCAAAAGGGGAGATGACTGAGACAGGGTAACACTGATCCCTGAGCACAAAACCAGAAACTCCATCTGCTCTCCTAAGAGGCTTACACTGCCCGGGAGCAGTTGACACAATCCTCTTGTCTCATTTTCCAGATGCTACCGATCACCTGTCCATAAGAAAAACACTGACTCACAGGCACCAGAGAACTGGAGAGCAGAGGCAGAAACCTGGCTGAGATGACATTTCCCTGCTGCATTGCTTTGTGTTCCTCTCTTATGTGCATTAGCCTCTCCCCATTGGCCTTAGACCCCAAGTGCTTCTTGTACCCACATGTCTCCTCATGGAGTTTGATGTTTGTTTGGGGACATCTAGTTTCCACTGACTGTGGCTGGCTCCTATATCACTTTGAATCCTAAAGGGCAATATAAATAAGGTTTTCATATGAATTGGAAACTAGTATAGGCTTTAGAGCTTATAGAGGAGAGTTTAGTCCTCATCCACAATCATATGTAAAAGGAAGTTGTCAGCCGCTAGAGACCTCTGAGATTCCTTCTTACTTTTTCATTCTTTTCTGAGTTTTTCCCCCCTTTTGTGTTGTATCATGAATATTATTGCAGAACTTCATATTAAACACTATATCAAACACAAATAAGCAACCATCCCAATTTTTTCCACTGTGCTCAAATCCCTAGGAACTTGAAATTAATTTGCAATATTAAAACAAAAAGCATGGACCCTCAAAAACAATGTATTCAAAATTCTTGTAAATAGTAAGAGATACCGCATAATAACGTATAATTGTTTATCAAATAAAGATCACAGAATCTTTTCTATAGGACTTTTAGAAAAATTATCTATGGTGGCTGGAGAGGCAGGGAAATATTTCAGACAGGAGAAAACTTCAAACAGCCATTGAAATATGAGTATGAATTAGGAAGCTAGAGTAGGTGGAGAGCCTGATGAGGGAATCTCACAGGCTGAGGACCAAGAATGTTGTCCTTTTCTTCATCTAACTAAGATCAGCACCTCTTCTGTAACCTGCCTTCTTAGTTTTATGTCTCATTTCCCCCCATTTCCTAAGTATTAGAAGCTGGGCATGTTACTTGACCTTCATGCATTTCAGTTTCCTCTATGAAAGGAATAACTGGACATCCCTTATAGGGTTAATATAAAGACTAAATTAATTCATCCAAGAAAAGTGCTGAAAATGATGGTTTTTAGAGTGATAAACTCAATCAGGCATGGTTATTATTAAACTTATACTGTTCACTGGTTAACTTCTAGTTATCATTCAGAGCCAAGTTCAAGCATCAATTCTTAAATTAAACTTAATCCAATTAACTGGTTTCAATTTTAGCATTTATTACTTCTGTTTTTACATATATTTATGATTACTTGATCAATATCTTTCTTCCCTTCTTGATCTTAGGCCAATAACAGGAATTGAATCTAATTTCTGCTCAAAAATATTTTCTCAGTTTATTCACAGTGAAACACAAAATCCCAATAATGTCAATAAAGCCTTATATAGGGTGTCCCAAAATTCACACAAGATTTGAATTTTGCGTGAGCATTAACAACAACAGCAACAAAAAATAAAAGCCTAATTTTACTTGGTTTATTGAATTAGATTCTAATATCTGCTGCCCTTTGATTTCAATCCCTTCAATTTGATAAGCATTACCAAGTACCAATTATGGCCCAGGAGCAGGGACAATAAAGACCAATGTATGTTCCAGCAAAGCTGTGGAGGCTATTTACCTGATATGCTATTCCATACATAACCCTATACTGTATCCTTTATGAATCAATAAAAAATTTACAATTTTGAATTATAAACCTGTGTTTTCTATCAAAATTACTTCTTGCATGAATTTTGGGACACCTGGCCTATACAAACAATTTGTCACCTCCTGCACACCTGTTACACCTCATCTCCACTATGCTCATTCCTGCTTCTTCCACTGAAGCATAAAGGGTGCTTGAATATATCAGGCACATTTGTACCACAGGGCTTTCCTACTGGATTCTCTCTCACCTGCAAATGCTCCTCCCCAAGGTCCCTAAAGTCTTCACTCCTTCATCGCCTCAGAAATTTGTTCAAATATTACTTTCTGAGGCTAGCCTTCAACTAGTCACCTTATTTTAAAAATACAAGCTAAAAAACTTCCTATATCCCTTTCACACTTTATTTTTTTTCTATGATATTTATCTCTATCTAATGTAGTAGATGCTTAATTAATTATTGTGTGTCTGCTCAGTCTTCCTCATTAGATTGCATAAATCATGGCAACAAGAGAGTTTGTCTTCTTATTGTATTCCTGGGATCTAAAGTGTATCTAATATATGTTAGGCGTTTAATAAATATTTAGAGAACTATGGAAGATACTGCTGCATGAGTGAGGTAAATAATAGTTCTATAGGTCTTAAAGATTCTTTCATGAATTGAAAAATTGAATGATTTGAATTGAATACATGAATTGAATGAATTGAAGATTTGAAACAATTCAATAAATAAACTGACTTAAAGAACATGAAGGATTCAGATATAATAAAATATGAAAGGCCATTTATTATAGTAAAAGTAAAAAGAGGAAATTAGAGACAGATATCTAGATATGAGCTGCAATATGTTTTTAGCACAACGCTAGGCAAAGGTATTAACATTTCCAAGTTTTATATCCTCATTATTTGTCTTAGAAATAAAATTAGCAAGTAAATGTCAAAGCACTCCACGTTTTACTAGCAGTAACAAACAAAAGTATCCAGGACCTATAGACAACTTAAGAAATTATTTTGGAGCCCATCTTCCTATTAAGTATTAACTGGAAAGACAAAAAGAATACTACATGAAACTTGAGAAGAATAGAAAGTAAAATATAATAAGAAAATGAATCAGTTATCACTGGGTGGACTTTGTTGGTAGTGCAAGATTAGGAGGCTAGCACAGTACCTAATTCTAGAGAACAGAGACTAGTGCTAGATTCATTCCAGACCATGATGCCTTCAAGTGAAAAAAAAATTTTTTTAAAGAAACAAATAAATGGCAACATAATATACATAATATATACTATTTTAATGGATTGAAATACTCAAGATTATTAGCATGTCAATTCTCCACATAATTATCTAAACATTAAAAACATTGCCATTCAAAATGCCAGAAGGATGTTTTAAAGATATTGAGGAGCAGATTATAAAATTTACTGTAAATACAAAGAAACTAGAATAGCCCAAGCAGAGTGAAATAAAAAATTAAAGCTGCACAAAATACTTCAATATTTAATATAAAACTACAGTAATTAAGACAGTGTTATAAATGAAAGGCATGGCACATAGATCAATGGGACAGCATAGAGATACTTGAAATA